TTGCTTAATTTCTTTTATATATCGTTCTAGCTTTATTATAGTATTTGAATAGAACATGTGGCAACGACTTGATAATTCTATTCTAAATGCTATAAATTTTGTGCATTATGAGTTATAATATGAACGAAATATAATACTGGAGTCATCACTTTTGCGCAACACAAAAAGTGAGAATTTTAGCTGATTTTCGAGTTTTAATAAGTCAAATTGTTTTTGTCATACATATATGAAATTTTTAGTGTGTCATCTTTATACATAGATGATCATCTTTCTTTATTTATTTTACTTAATATTGTATAAGAATTTGTTTTATAATGAAAAAACTAACAGTATTTTCCGAAAATTTAAAATTTGTACTGAATCACTGCGCGCAAACTGACAGTAATACAAATTTAGTTACAGTAATAATTTTTAAGTGAATCTAGCGCCAGAGTGTCGCTTTGGTAAACAAGTACTAGAGTGAATTTTAAAGAATGCATTTATTCTATTGTGGTTTATGCGCTGTCGGCGAAGTAGATTTAATTCAATCCAATAAGTTTAAATGAAATGCAAGAAAAATGCGTATAATTTAATATTCCGTACAAGGAAGACATGTGGTGTACACATCAGATTTTTTTATTAAACTTATTTGAATTCTTCCTTTTACATTTCGAAATTCAGTCTAATCCCAATTAAAATTCCATTTTTTATGATTTATCTTTTAAATTTGTATTTTTAAACAATTTTTATAAATTTTTCGAAAAATTTTTTATATTATTTCCTATAAAATTTTTACCATCCTCTTAATTACTTCTAAGCATACCATAAGAGCTTTTTATTTACAATTTCCTAAGATATACGTGAATTAACATTTTGGTACGTTATGAAGTTTGGCGTATTTATTATAGGCGATAATATTGAAAATCTGGCTTATGCACTTTGTTAAAATTATTTAAAAGAATGAATGATGGACCTTTTTTTCGTTCGTGCGTCAAACGAAAAAAAAATGAAAATAAGTTACGTTACTATAAATTAAGAATTTCCTGAGTGAATTGTTCTTGGCGCAAACTGAAAAAAATGCGGCAAGATAAATTTTTAAATCCCTCAGATTTTCAATTTCACACGAAAAATTATAAAATTTAATATCTAGGCATAATTTGAGTCGTGGAATCGAAATATAGAAAAAACCTTATATGTTATTTCAGAAAAAGTCCGATTTTGTGTGAAAATACTTATGTTAGAATAACGCTATATGTATAAATGTAATATATATCCCAAGTCGCGCTTTTGGGACATCAAAAACGCAAGTTGAATTTCCATGTCTTGAAGGCTTAGTAGAATCGGCTTAGTAAAACGGGATATATATTTTTTTTTTCCGCCTAATGTACATTATATGTTGTCCGAAATTTGTATTATCTGTGGAATTCATTCTAGTAATAATTTAGAAATTTAGCATGTATCGACTTAAAAAATTATCTATTGTTTGTATAGAATAATTAACAGTAATGTATCATAAAACACTTGTTATCACACTTGTTGTAAGCATGATTAATTTTTTGGTGTAATAATTACTCGTGAAAATTAACTAGCAGTGACAGAAACAAAACTTAACTATCACATACGGAAAACTCTGTAGAAAAGATCAATTTATTAAAATCAAATCTCTGTAGAAAAGCCTGACTTAATTTAAATTGTAATATATGTCAGTTGAATCTATCTCAAAATATTATTGGGAGAGTTATTACAAATTACCGGAGCATTAAATTATTAATTATATGGAAATTAACATATATATATACATACAAATTATATACAAATAACATACATTTGTATAAAATTAACATTACGTTAAAATGTTAATGGAGGAATGCAACAAGAATTAAAGAAATATTCATACATTTGCAGGGCTAGTTTTGATGGTTTAAAATATAGAAACCGCTTCTTCAGCTGCAAAAGTGCAAGTGACAGAAAAGAAGCCACCGATGTGTCCCTAAACTCTAGAAAGGCCCATATAACCTGATCCGTAAATACCCTTCACATGCGGACCTCTTAGAAGTAATTACTGCAACATATTGTTACATTTTTCTTTTTCTGACACCAGTTGTTACGTTATTTTCTTCCTTCACGTTCGTACGGGGTTTGTGTGGATTTGGAGTGAATAACGACGACACTTGATGAAGTATGGAAACACACTTCATTTACCAATATTAATCAGGACAGCTCCAAAACACTTTTAACTTTATAGTCGTCGAAACTTTATAGTCGTCGAAGATCTACAGTAAACACGCTGGAATAATCAGCGACACAGCCTTCACAGTATCAGGCAATAACGGTGGAGACAGCTTCACTGCAAAGCACCAGAGTACAGCTTCCGACTCAGCTCGATCGTTCTCAGAACTTCACGTACTCTCGGGCCTCTCCACGCTACAACTCGCGATGCACTCGACGATACACCAGAGTATAGCTCTCTACTCAGCACAGTCTAAGACAAAACTCGACGATGCACTAATTCGCGACACACTAAAAGACTCTCTCGATGCACTCAACTACCAAATCGGCGCTATTCAATTCGAGACACTCGCTCAATGACTGACTATCAGTTCGCTAGACGAGGCACAGACTCGATGAGAGAAACACACTCGATACTAACTATCTCGCAGTCCAGACGCAGGGACTCTTGCTCAGCCTCTCGATAAGGCACTCTCCCGATACTGTCTGCGGACCAACAGGGTTTATACAGTTAAGACACAATAACACGCCGAATAAATACTGATTCAGAAGTCAAACAACAAAAATCAGCGTTAATTCACAAAATTTTCACAGGACTAGTTTCGATGGTTTTACCGAACCATCATCTTCAGCTGCAAAACCGCAAATGAACAAGATAGGAAATAATGTTTAGATAAGATAAGAAAGCCTGGACAAGAATAAGCAAGTGGCGCCATCTGTTGGCGAAACCAGAACTAAAACATAATTTCTCTAAAAGGCCCGAAGGCAAATTTGGATTGGAATTAGGATCGTTAACTAGAACAGAAAGATTTTTATGAATGTGAAATGCCTCTAGAAAATCCAGTTCTCCAATGGAAGATGTTTTTTGAATAATTTTGGCAGCAGAAAAATTGAAAGTGTGATTTTCGGACCAACAATGTTGAGCAACAGAAGACTTCTGTGTTTCCTTTTTTCTAACATATGCCTCATGTTCTTTGACGCGAAATTTTAAGGCTCTCTTAGTTTGGCCAATGTAAATTAAACCGCACTGGCAAGGAATCCTATAAATGTCATTCCCTTCTTTCCATCAATTAGCTATAAAGTTGCACATGTTTTGCAGAAATTTAACTTTCGGGTTGTTTACTCTCCCATCAATAAAATTCCAACTTCTATACTCAAGGACCCCATTCCGGATATGAATTCCTGGGGTATTTTATAGGATTCCTTGCCAGTGCGGTTTAATTTACATTGGCCAAACTAAGAGAGCCTTAAAATTTCGCGTCAAAGAACATGAGGCATATGTTAGAAAAAAAAGGAAACACAGAAGTCTTCTGTTGCTCAACATTGTTGGTCCGAAAATCACACTTTCAATTTTTCTGCTGCCAAAATTATTCAAAAAACATCTTCCATTGGAGAACTGGATTTTCTAGAGGCATTTCACATTCATAAAAATCTTTCTGTTCTAGTTAACGATCCTTAATTCCAATCCAAATTTGCCTTCGGCCTTTAGAGAAATTAGAAATTTGTTTTAGTTCTGGTTTCGCCAACAGATGGCGCCACTTGCTTATTCTTGTCCAGGCTTTCTTATCTTATCTAAACATTATTCCTATCTTGTTCATTTGCGGTTTTTGCAGCTGAAGATGATGGTTCGGTAAAACCATCGAAACTAGTCCTGTGAAAATTTTGTGAATTAACGCTGATTTTTGTTGTTTGACTTCTGAATCAGGGTTTATATAGCTTTCGGCTTGTGTTTGAGAACATTCTGGGCTAAATCGGTAAGAACTCGTTCCAGAAGGTTCTCCATGCGTCCATGGCATATAGCCAATTTTGTCACCAAATGGACGATTTCTCGCCAAATATGCAACCCTGCCGTCCCTTGCCATTTTATGTCAACCCTAAATCTTCTTTCTGGGGAAGCCATCTACCGCGCCTGTACATTTCGTAACAATATCCAATTTCAATGCTACTGTTAATCGTAAAATCTTCATCTGTTTGTCTTCCACCACACTTTAAATCATGTCATTCAACTGAACAGAAGTTAGCTTCATTTGATTCCTTCGTTTTCCGTGCACTTTAGGTTTGCTTCTTCCAAATCGGCTCTTGATCAAAAGCTAAATTACGTGAAATCATTTTTAAATCTGGAAAAAAATTGTCTTGCCATTTAAAAAAAGAGTCCGATTTTGTGTTCAAATACCTGTATTAGAACAGTGCTATATATAAGTCTAATATGTATCCTAAATCGTGCTTTCGAGACATGAAAAACGTAATTTGAATTTCATCAATCGACCCAGTAGAACGGGAGACATAGAACTGTCCCAATTTTTTCTTGCGTCGTGTAAACTATAGTTATTAATAATTTATTTTCATGATTATATATATTCCTATTGTATGCCATTCCGTAGAGTTAGCAGTGATTGCCTTGGACAGTAGTAACATTATTCAGATTTTTTGACATTGCACTTGCGATTCAGTATTTTATTTTAAACTCAGCATCTTTGTCTCATTATTATTTTACCTTGCACTTGCGATTAAAACTCAGCATCTTTTATTTTATTTGTAACGACATTGCACTTGCGATTAACAATTCTTGGACGATTTTAATATTGCTTTGGATCATTATTTATTTGTGTTCTCATTGCATTGCTTAAACTTTGTTTATTTGCGATATCTCTTGTCTCATTATTTTATTTATAACGATATTGCACTTGCGATTAAACTCAGCATCTTTGTCTCATTATTTTATTTGTAACGACATTGCACTTGCGATTAAACTCAGCATCTTTGTCTCATATTTTACAATTTCATGTTCACAGAAGTCCTTCCAAGTGGTAGTTGCAGTCGTTCTACATGCGGCCGGTGGCGGGAATGTGAGGTGAATTCAGAAGGGGAGGCCATCTGTACGTGTCACAAGTACTGCAAGAGGAGGAAGAAGCCCGTCTGTGGAACGGATGGACGCTACTACGCCAATCATTGTGAATTGCACAGGGAAGCCTGCCTCACAGACACGCCCATTGCCATCGATCACAAAAGACTGTGTCTCAAGAAGAGATGTGAGTATAATTTAGAAACATTGTACAGACAATCAGCTAAAAACATTACTATCGATCTTAGCTCTGTAAACTGATAGTTCTGTATTTTTATGTATTACGAAATTCGTACGCTTTCTTCAAAATGATAATGTTATTCCATTGATATTAATGCACTCGGCAGAAGCACTCTTCTCTATTTTTTAATTTTTTAACTAGAGAAGTTTTTTTTGGGGGGGGGACGAAACACACCAGACTTAATGGCAATGCCCGGAAGATCTCATTTCAAAATGTCAAGTAATATTGATATTATATTTATGTGTCTGTAAACAACCCCTTGCAAAAAATGTATACTTTACATAATTCCGTAAATTTAATGGAATGCTTTGCAACGGTTACTTATAAAAAGTCGCTTATTGAAAATATTTAAATATTTAACCTCGTAATTATCTGAATCTTGCTGAATTCGCGGCTCTGCCTAAGATCCTACTAAAACCCCACCATGTTTTTTTGAGTTTCTAAATATTGTTTTCCAATGGACGTGAGACCATTTAGTTTCATTAACCAACTGCATGCTGTTTTACTATTACATTCTTTTTTATTACTTTTATTGTTCTGCACACTATCGTAGTTAAAATCCTAATTTCTAGTTGGATTAACAAACTATGACTATGGTTCACTGTTCATCGTATCGGTGGTTATAAATTTAAATGAAATGTTAACAAAAAATGCGTACAATTTATTATTACCTACAAGGAAGTCATGTGGTGTCCGCATCGAGATTTTTCTTTTCTTTAATTTTTCAAGTTTCGTTCTTTTACTGTAAATTCCATATTCATGAACTCTGTGTCGTTATCTTGAGTAGAGTATTAAGTAAGGAGGAATTATTAGGTATGTGCAAATGTTCTATCCGCTTTTTAGTCAAAGAAAGAAAGCGTAGAATGCAAAAATGGGTTAATTAAGATAAAAATAAAGCAGCCAGTATTCCATGCAATTGCTTTTACTACGTATTACTTTTTTCCATCTAGTTGGTTGTAAGATTATTCAACACAGATACAATTCCCAAGAAACGTCTGGTGTTGCTGTTTTCACTTCCTCTACATCGTCGAATTTTTGGAGAAAGTGGGTATTCATTAAATGATCGTATGTGATGATGGGAGTATATTCTAGACCAGATAGGAGATATTCTGATTGGACTATATGCACTTGATATCTAACTAGATAATTAATAAATTCTTTCGGAGGATGAGGTCCTCTTTTCAAAATTAAGGATAAAGTTATCAGCTCATTTGGCATTAGGACAAAGTACCCATTTCTCATCTTCCATTAAAACTCATTCCCAAAATAGTTCACTTCCGTAGCGCAGAACCAAAGCAGCACAAGTACCGACTCACTTCTCTCGTCACATTGCAGAAAGCTGGTTGGAACTTGCTGTTTGAATTTCATGATGATCTCAGCTGTATTCATCCATCTTTAGTTCTGTGTACTGACAATACTTCTCTAGTTTGTGAACAGTTAGATGTGGTTAAGATTTAATGTATGGTCCAGGAATTCATCAGAAAGCCCTGATGAACACCGAGAACTTTACTGATCCGTATGCCATCTGTGTTCATCCGGAAAATTCTAAAATCAGCGGCGAACACACTTAAATTCCGTTGCAAACTGAGACGCCTTTTGTATTGTCTTTATGAGTTACGTACAATAAACAAATCTGATGTCCCCCTTATGAGTTATTCTGACAAAAACGGTGTATTTGTATGATTTACTACCCAGTCTCTTTACTCATTTTCATCTGGAAATGAATTATCTGCTCTCACTTTGTGGCAAGGCAAAAATACGTAAAACCGAAAATAAATATAATAAATTTTTTTAAAAAATTTTATAATTAAAATTACAGTTTCTACGCAAAAACAAGCAATTCAGCCAGCGTGCAAGAAGGCAGATGTTTCGGTGCACAAAACAGAAAGTTTACTTTGGGTCCCAATCGGCAAAAAGACACTTATTTAATTCACTTGTAGGGTTTATATTGATTTTAACTAACATTTATTTTAAGTTTAAGCTATCTTTCCTGTCAAGCCTTTACTTTCCCATGGAATTGCCAATGCCAGAGTATGTAAATCGTAGTAGAACGCGCAGAGTATTCAAATTTTTAGCAGAAGTAATTTTGAGTTAAATAGAAGGGAAACGAGATTGTAGGTGTGCTTCTTGAATCACGAGCATGAAGTTTGCTAGGTAGAAATTTAAGAACCGCACGTTTCGGCCTGTGTGCCTACTTCGGCATTTAGTTGAATCTTTCAATTTCTTAGTCAGAAAGTTTGCTGAATCTCAGCTGTATCTTAGAACGCGGTTAAGTTAGTCACGTTTATAGAGCCTCGTAGATAGTGACTTCGTTAGTTATGCATCCTGTCATTTATTTGTAGTTGTACTTTTCTATTTTTGTTTAACCGCCGGGTCGGCGTAGTTTGTGAGCGTCAAGTGAACGCAACTGTAATTTCTAAAGTGAAATAAAAAGGTATTAAACCCTTCTTACGAGTTTGTGTAATTTCCAGTTCATAGCAGTCACAACCGAAAGATAAGAAGAGCATAATTCCGTCATTTTTAAAGCAAAAACTGCAACTCTCTTAAAGCGCAGACGGTTTTTTTGAACACACCGGTGCAGCGTACGTTGCAGCGTATGGGCCTACGCAGCCAGAGGCCGAAGCATGTCCCTGCACTGATGGCACGTCATCACCAGCTGCGTCTGCAATGAGCGAAGAAAATTGGTATTGGACATTGGATGAATGGAATAAAGTTGCATGGTCCAACGAATCACGTTTTCTGGTACATCGCATCGACGAGCATGTGATAATACGCCGATTTCCAAACGAAACCCTGACTCCCCGATGCACAGTTGGACGGAGACAAGCCAGTGGTGGGAGCATTATGGTGTAGGCAATGTATTCATGGAGCACATTAGGGACCATAATGCCTATAGAACAATCTCTGACGTCTGTGAGCTACGGGAACATCGTTGCAGACCAGGTTCACCTGTTCATGACAAGAGCATTTCCGGCGGAGGATGGTGTTTACCACCATGTCATAAGGATCGAATCGTCAGGGAGTGGTTCAAGGAACATTCCATTGACTTTGAAGTCATGTCTTGGCCTCCAAATTCACCTGACATTAATCCAATAGAGCATTTGTGGTCCCACCTCGGAAACCAAATTCGTGCCGCCACGCTACCTCATCGCAATGTGCAGGAATCACAGAACCAGTTGATGAGCGCTTGGTACTAAGATACCTTCATACTACGTATCAGCACCTTGTGGAATCAATGCCACGCTGTGTGCTGGGAGTTTTGAGGGCTAAAGGTAGTCCTACATGTTATTAACGTGGTGGTCCTATTGTAATAGCTCTTCGGTATATTTTTTAACTTATGTGTAACGATTTGTTTTTCCGAGAAATAAACGTTTACCTGTTCTGATAAGATCTGCATTTTCATCCATTCTGAGTAAATACAACGGGCATTAATTAAGCATACTGCTACACATACATTTAGAGTAACTTTATTCGTATACTGGTTGCATAAAAAGATGCCCATCTTGCAGTGAAGAACACTTTTCAAATGTTTTGTTAAACTTGAGAATATTTTGAATCGTATTGTTACGAAATGTACCGCCGCGGTAAGATAGTTTCCCCGCAAAGCTGGTTTAGGGCTCCCAGAAAAAGGGAAGGCAGGGCTGCCATATTTGGCGGGATATCGCCCATTTGGCGTTATTTTGCGACAAAATTGGCGATATGCCATAGACGTGTGAAGAATCTTCTTTAACGAATTCTTACTGGTTTAGCCCAGAATGTTCTCGAACACAAGCCAAAAGCTATATAAACCCTGCTGGTATAAGGAGTCCATCGAGTTGATAGTCAGTCAGTAAGGGCCTAGTCGAATCAGCAAGCGAGTGTCTAGTGTAGTGCCGAGTTGGTCGTCGAGTGCATCGAGAAGGCTCTTAGTGTATAGCGAGTTAGTGCATCGTCGAGTTTCATCTTAGAGTATGTTGAGCTCCGAGGTACGACCGAACCGAGTCGGAAGCTGTATTCTAGCGTATCGTCGAGTGCACTGCGAGTTGTAGCGTGGAGAGTCTCGAGAGTATGTAGAGTTTCGAGAACAACCGAGCAGAGTCGGGAGCTATACTCTGGTGCTTTGCTGAGAAGCTGTCTTCACCGTTATAGCCTGAAGGCTGTGTCGCTAATTGTTTCAGCGTGTTTATAGTAGTTCTTCGACGACTGTAAAAGTGTTTTGGGAGCTGTCTTGAATAATACTGGTTAATAAATTGTGTTTTGATGCTTCATCAGGTGTTGTTGTTATTCACTCCAAATCCACGAACGCGTACGTACGAAAAAACGTAACAGTGTGTTATCCGTAAGGAGTAGTAAATTAATTATTTGAATTATCAATTACAAGAAACTTTATTTCTCTGAACAAAAGGTGAAAAACTCAACATTTCATTTAGAGTAGAGGAAAAAGAAAGGAAATATTTAAGATAGTTTAACCTGTTTAATAATGTACAATTTTAAAGCAAAAAAGTTAGTTTTCGTTACTTTCTTTTTATTTTGTACTCATTTAGGCAACGGTAATGGAACGTAAAAGATATGCTTGCCTTCTTTAAAATATTTAATGTTTGAAAATCTTTTCGGAAATTTAAAAAAAAATCTTTGTAAAAAATAATAAATATTTAATTCCAAGACAAAATGTATTTCAGAAAGAGTTCTTCTTTTAGTTATCAAATATTTATCCTTTAATGATGACGATGCAAGAAAAGTCAATTTCTACGTTTGGCCTTTTTTCCGATAAAGTTTCTTAGCACTTAAGAAACAAAATAATACATTTTTTCATTGCGTATGATATTTTGCGAAGTATCTCAAGCAATTTTATCTTTTATTTCAAGAATTTATAAAAAGTAAGTTTCTTTTGAAAGATTAATGCGATGAATAATTACTAATTAATGCTTATGACTTGTTATCAACCAAATTTCATTTTTTAAACTAAACTGTTTTTGTGATATTTGGCACAGCTACCTTTTAGGACGTTTTGACTAATTTTTCCGCCAATTATAAACCTAGTATTGAATTATAATAAGAAAGTGTGTGTCTTTGAAAATTTTTATCTGCTATTTCTTCAAATTCAAAAGCAATGCGTCAATATCTTCTATCAGTAATAAGGATTTGATAAAACAAATGCACAGTTACAGCAGTTGCTTGTTCATTATTTATACATCTATGCAAATAAGCTAAAAAAAACATGAAAGCTTTCAGATTTTAAATTGCGCCCAAAAGGGCCTTTTTTAAATATTTTATGTGTTACCTTTATTTATTAAATACATATTCTTCGCAATTAAACCACATAAAATTCAATACACCAGCAGTATCACAAAATATTTGAAAAGAGTATATCCTTAAAACTCTCGATAAAGTATTTCTGTACAGTGTTGCCATTGCTCGCTCTATAAAAAGTGCACGGCGAAAGCTGGTTTCAAAAGGAAACCTTTAATTGGACACCTACATCAGAATATGTCTTCATTTGTTCTAAACTGATCTATTTATACTATTTTTACTTCCTTGTACGAAGTAAAGAAAGTATTGTATTCACGAAACATTCCGGTTATCATATTTAAATGGATTTAAAATGGAGTAAGAATAGATTATTTTCTTGGCGTCTGTACGTACGTACGTATGATTGTATGTATATATCTCGCGTAACTCAAAAACGAGTAGCCACAGAACGTTGAAATTTTGTATATAGGACTGCTACAGAATGTACTTGTGCACCTCCCTTTTTGGTTGCAATTGGCTGCACCAGTTGTAAAAAAGTATACTGTTATTGTGGTATAGTGCTTTAGTTTGTGATGTAATTTCAATTAGCCCACAGAAGTGGCAAAATACAGACTACGTTCGACACGCAAATTTTGGGAAATAGTACAAATAAATCCATTTTTGTTGTTATTTAGCAGACTATTACTTAAAATCATAGAAACAGGTGGTAAACATATAATCAAATTATAATTTTTGGATTTTGGATATTTCTTACATTTTGGGTTAAAAATGTGTTAGATTTCAGGATTACTGGATATGTTCCCACAAAATATATTTATCGATATTTAATTTTTTAGTCATTTATATTTACTAATGTGTAAGAAATTAAATAGACTTAAAATTTAAGTGATAAAATAAAATGTCAGTTTATACCTGTTTTGAGTACTATTTTTCGAGAATTTTTTTTTTCTTTCCACGTACAAAATTGTCTAAAAAATTTGTAGATTGGGATATAGACTTGAACTTTTAGTCCATTTAATTGCTAATATTTCATAAAATTACTACAGTAATATTTTTAGTTAATTTTTCTAGAAACAGAAAAATTAAAAATATAGTTTTAAAGTAATGCAAACATAAACAGCTTGAAGGAGAAAGAAAGGAAGGAATTGAAGGAAGAAGTATGTTGCCAAGTATGAAAATATATTCGAAAACTAAGCTTGTTTCCGATCACTTAATAACAAATTGAAAATTTCAGAATCATCTTTTCGGCCTCACCTAAAGTTTTCAAATGGAAAATTCTCATTGAAAGGTTATTTAGAGTAGTCTGTATACCTTTACACATCGACTTCCGGTTTCTTAAACAGAAACTTCCGGTACAAGGCGTAGAACAAGAAAAGCAATAATTCTGCTCCTAAGAAACGTAGAGACAAAATAATGATACTTTTCGGAAGCTTAATTTATAAGCTATAAAATAAAATAATAAAAATATTTTGAAAAATTTTAGCAAAATTGAAGCTTAGAACGTAGTCAGATACGTTTATAAATTCCATTTGAATTTGAATTTGATTTTTTTTCTTACAATTAGAGAGCTGTTTTGTGCGATAATTCACCAAGAGGTTATTCTCTGTCCAAGGTTTCCTTTCGGCTTTTCTGTGATGTTTAATTGTTTATTTAGATGTGGGCTAACAGATGGCGTTAGTTGTCCACATTTTTGCCAAATATACAAGAATACGTAATGTAGCATTTTGCGCGCCCTTTTCAGATCTCAAAGATGTTCGGCAGGAAGCGTTTTTCGAGTGATATAACCTATATTCCTGACGGTATTTCCGACACTGATAGTAGTTCTGAGTCTGATTTCAAGTATATTGAAGATAGTTATAGCGAAACTGATGGGAATTTCTCGGGTTCCTCTGCAGATAGTGATGAATCTGAAAATTCAGTTTCTATTGAAAACGTTCGATATACAAAATATTCCATTATGCAAATATTTTATTAGTATATATGTTTTACCTTTGTATTTTATAAAATAAATCATAATTTAACCAATATTAATTTTCAAAATTTTCCATTTATATCATTACTCTTCAATTTCAGTAATCTGACAACCTTCTTCTATGATCTTATTCTATATTGAAAAAATCTGAAGTGTACACCACATGACTTCCTTGTACGGAATATTAAATTATACGCATTTTTTCTTGCATTTTATTTAAACTTATTAGATTGAATTAAACCTACTTCGCCGACAGCGCATAAACCACAATAGAATAAATGCATTCTTTAAAATTCACTTTGTTTACCATAGCGACACTCTGGCGCTAGGTTTACTTAACAGTATTATATTTCCTTCATATTATAAGTCAGAATGCACAAAATTTATATCATTTAAAGAATTATCTAATCGCTGCCACGTGTTCTATTCACTATACTATACTAGCTTTAGTTAGAACTATGTATAAAAAAAATTAAGCAAACAAAACGAAAAAGAAACAGTTTTTCACAGACGATTGAGTATTTCTCATTCAATTAATTCAGTTTTCACTTCGCGACAAGGCAAAAATACATAAAAACTCAAAATATCTATATTAAAAATTACGAAGTAAATCTCAAACGCTTATTTCCTCGAAAAAATTCCAGAAAGGATTAAAGCATGATTTAAAATAATAATGAAGGCGTTATCTTTGTTGTTGCGAGGCTAAGTTTCTCCAGATTGGCAACAAATCCGCTACTCAGCTGTTTCAAATGTAAACAAGAGCAATGGCCGCCATCAAATTAGGCTTAGCGGCACTTAAACGATTTTAAAATTGTTGATAATTCTAAAAATATTGCATACAGATTTACTAAAGGCATAAAACCCTTAACCGGAAGATAAAAACAACATAATCATTTTTAAAGCAAAAAATGTACAATTTACAAACATATAAGAGTAACGAAACTGAGATTACGGAGCCGGGTAACAGAGTGGATATATTTATAAATATATTTATATACGTTTGACGCGGCCGATTGAAACCAAAATACGAGGTGCACATCTACATGTTATAGTAGTCTTATATACAAAATTTCAACGTTCTGAGGCTACTCGTTTTTGAGTTATGCGAGATACGTACGTGCATACGTTCGTACGGACGCCACGAAAAATTCTCTTCAGAATTTATTTTAAAGCATTTTTTTTTTTTTTTTTTTTTTTTTGAAAAGAGTCTTTTATTCTGTCCTTACGTACAGATATCACGCAAAAACATCGTTAAATTGCATTCGAAAGCGGTCAAAGTGGATATTTTCGTTGAAATATGCTGCCTGAAACTTTTCGCGATTACAATACTTCCTTTTTACTTCGTACAAGGAAGTAAAAAAAAACGCTTTTACAAAAAAAAATTTTATATTTTAACTCTAAAATGCATGTAGATTTGTAATATGTAATAAAACAAATACGCAATTTTTGAACCTATTTTGATTCAAAAAAACGTACGCAGTGAGAGGGCTAATATCATTTTCTAGGTTAGCCATTAGACTGAGTATTCATCTTAATTTAATTTTCAAACAATTAAGTGATGAAAATTTGCAAAGCAACTTTCATAACTTTTGAATTAACAATTTTTGCTTTTAGTTCTTGAAACGACAACTACTGATATTGAAACCTCGGCTGATGATCTCTCTACCAACACCTCCCCTACAATTACAACCACTGCCACAGACCGCCGCACAGACGAGACTTCTTCCTGGACCAATCTCCCACAGCCCGAACCCCGCACCATCAGCTCGTCCAATCCAGGTAGCACGAGCTTCCCAGTGACTACTTTGGCAGACCACGTCGACGTCGGATCTGAACTACCTCCGCAAAGGGAATGTAGCCAGCAGGAATATGATTTCATGAAAGAGAATCTACTTCTATTCAACAATGCTAAACTGTCGGATACTAAAAAACCAGGTAAGCTGAATCATATCGAAACAGCATTCGTATGTGAACAAATGCTTAATCTGGTATTTCTGACAAACAAAGCGCCACAAGGCGACAAATGTAAATGTCTGCTCGAACCCCAATGATATAGACAGCTTCCTGAAAAAACTTAGTTACTTTATTAAATACAGAACACATGCAAAAAGCAAAGACACGTACAGAAATTCGCAAATAAGAATGCGGCTAATCTTTGGAATATGGTAACAGGTAGTTTGGCGACATTTTGGTAAGGCGATAAAGATTACTAGCTAGGACTTTATCAGTGTACATGGATAAAGTCAAGAGTGTGCGCAGTGCCATTTTTGTGCAATTCTGGGATGTTTTTTAAGTGAAAATATGTCGACGTGTACATGGATACCGTGTAAGTGGAATTCTTATAAACGCGCAAGCAGTGGGCGATTCTGCACTTTTTCCCAATTTCGCACCTAATATTCGTCATGATTAAGCTCTTTTGTTCCATAAAAGTTCTAGCATAAGCGTAATTCGGCTAGCAGATTGCTGGAAAAAAATGTTGAGTTTACTTCGTGAAAACAAAATGGCATCCAAACAAAAATTAGCAGGTTGCTGTAGCAGGGTTGGTCGCCAAAAAATGGCCAAGTTACCATAATCCAAAGATTAACCAAAAACAGTAAAAATTTTGGATTAGAACCATTACAATCAGGTCAGTGTGTTTACAAGGTAAAAATATCTCAAGGTGAGTTAATTCTAATTTTATATGTAGATCATTTAATGATAGCAATAAATAGCTATGATTTATATGTTGAACTTAAAGATTATCTTGCTAAAGTATGTCATGTCAAGGCAGACTTCATTATTGTCTTGGAGTTTTAATCAAGATGTAAATAATAAGTTCTGCTAGTTTATCTCAGCTGAAATATGTTAACATTTTATAAATGTTTACAGCGCAAGGATGCAAAACTAGTGGCAGCTCCATTAGTTTCTAGTGTAAAATTAAGTAAAGAAATGTGTCCTTCTGAAAGTGAAATGGAAGAAATGAGCCACTGTCTAACTGGTTCACTTATGTACTTTCTGTATTTGCTAGACCGTATACAGTACAAAGTCTTTAATCCGGAATGATCTATAATCCGGACGTCCATTATCCGGAATGATCTATAATACAGACTTCAAAACTACAAACTTTCTGCGCATACGTAGCATTTACGCATGCGCATAATACCTTTACGCATGCGCGTTTAATGTATAACAGATGGTATAAGCTAGGCCAAAATTATCTAATTATCTATTTCAGTTAATGTTGCAGATTGCGTTGTTCCTTAGCCTTATAATTGGCGCGCTATTAACTGGAAGTTGATCTGTCAGCACTATCCTCATCTTCAGAGCAGATGTTTTTTATTTTATTCGGCTTATAATTCCTTACTAAATGTAGTATTTCATCTCGATGTACTCCGTCTTTGATATGCTGCAGCAGGGTTGGTCGCCAAATTTTCGCAAAAAATCGCCAAGTTACCATAATCCGAAGATTAACCAAGAATACTCACAATTATTACAGTCGAATTATTTCTTAGTAGCAGTTACCAGAATTAGACCAATGTAAACTCTTTATTTCAGAAATAAATAATCTGAATCGGTATCATAAAAGGAATGCACAAATTTTCAAAAAAAAATCCGAGGTTGTAAATCTTTATTTCTTTTTGCAACAGAATATTCCTTTATAGCACCATACGGCAGTTTTCCAGTGTTATTGAGCTCTCGTATATTCTTTGGGAGCATACATTCTTAAACCCTATGTTGAAGACTAAGTAGCGAATTCTCGCTATGTCTTTAAGAATAAATACTGCAGATAAAAGGTTTAAATAGCCTTTTTATTTAAATCTAAATTAAAACAGGTGCACGTACCACTGGTTGAGAAGCGCTGTTCCAGACTACAGTCTAAGTCTGCATCGTGATTTCCGTGATAAAAACGCTTTATTATTGTTCATTTATTGTTTTGTTTATTGTTACTACAGATGTATATAAACACACTGCAATTAATTTTTGCGTCAGCAGAATTTTTCTTGTTGCCATTAGAAAGAGTGCTTAACTTTTTCAGATATTCCATGTAGAAGAAATGATTGACGGTTTTTCCCTTTAGAATTAATAAAATGTTGCTTATTTTGCTCTTAGAAATTTTAATACCGTGCATTTCAGAACTTTTTTGAATTTGGAAAGCGCAAAAATCAATCCATAGCTTGTTTGCATGTGACATTTTGAACGTAAAAATAAATTTAGAAGTAGCAGACAATATTTCTCATTTCAAGTAATAAGTTGTTGCCAGAAATGTTTATTCCAAAACATTTGCTTTTTTTAAATTCTTTTTTGAAAGCATTCTAAAAATTTGTAAAACACGAATTTACATAACAGGACTTTTAGAAGCCTAATGAATCATATATAGGAGGATTATCAGTATGTAAAATAAAAATACTATTTATATTCAAGATATCGGTGTTCGTAATACATAAATGCTTGTTGCTTCTTCGAAGATTCCTGTAGAGTGCATACAAATGTCCTTTTTCATCATTGTGACTAATATTTTAGATATTTATTAAATATTTATAATTCATGTAAGTATTAGCATGTAAATAAACCCATGAATTAGGGAAACATACTATCTCATAGTTCTGAACTTCCATTCTTTATCATTTAATTAAGGCTTTTGTTTACGGTATCATATTCTGTTACTTTCTAAGAACAAAGGGAATGATATTTTCACTAAATCATCTTGCGCATGACATTTTTTAAAGTCGTACGAAGTAAGAAATTAGCTGTAACAAAAATATTGAATTCTTGACGGTTATTATAATATTTTATATTTTTGGCGCCCAACAGTTGCGCATGAACAATTTTTTTGATTTAGAATGCGGTGTTTTTTCGTGTTAGTGAAAAATTATTCCTCGGCACTGAACGTGGCAAGATAAACGTTCAGAATACTTGTGAATGTGCTTCACCAGGAAAGTGAGTTACTAAATTAGGATTAAACCATTTGAATACTGCGCAGGTAAGAGAATAAAATTATTTTTGTTGTTATTATGGCAGACGATATTGTTAAATTGAAAGCTACTAGAAAAACTATGAGACAAGCTACTTCTAAAATAATAAATGTTGTAGAACCTGAAATTACAAGACATTTGGAATAAAAATATGGTAGAAAAAAGTGTGTTTTTACTTACTTCTAAACAGTCTGCGTTGAAAGAAATTAATGAAAAAATATTGTATTGTTTTAAAGGGGATGAGTCTGAAATTGAGAAAGAATGTAATACTGTGTTAGAGTATGATGAAAAAAAATCAGTTTATGTATTTTTAGGGCTAAAAAGAAACTTAATTTAAATTTTCAGATAGTGAGCATTAAAAATGAATCGCCTGGTAACCATACTGCTGCCGTTAAGGTCGAAAACAAAACTAACATTCGGTTATTTTTCGAATTTTATAATGCTTTGGAAAATGCTATTGGTAATAATAATGAGTTTAACAAAGGTCGAGAAGTTTACCTATCTTAAATCCTTACTCAGATCCTTACAGAAAATCCAGAATATTGCTTCAGTTTTAAAACTGAATTATGTGGCATTAAATAATATATTCTTTAAAGTATTGCTTGAAATTTGTTGGTCTGTAATGTATCGTTTCTGAAATGATGTTTATGCACAGGTAACGAGTACCTCGTCAGTATTATGTTCTCGCACTATGATCAAAACAACAATGGACAGCTGGAGGCTGAAGAACTTTGGCAAGCAGCAGAGAAAGACCACTTAGGACAATTATCTTCTTCTTGCATTCTGGCAGACATGCTGCTCTTTGATGACACAGATCGAGATGGAACGATGACCATCAATGAATTCTATCTCGCATTCAGTAAGTTGGACAGTAAGTGTTAAACCCCTCCCCTTCTCACCCTTCGTCTTCTAATCGGGTTGTTTTGCATGTGCATATTCCTAATTCCTGTAGAAACCCTCTTCGTGAATGGTAGAAAATTGTTGAATCTTATATATGTGATAAAGACACAATTTTGGAAGCACTAATGTAAGAACACTAAGATGTACAAGCGTAGCAATGTTGCTTAGGTAGACACTTCATCCACATTAAAGACGAACAAGGTCGAGCCGGATTAATTTCATTTTTTTATTTAAATTCACATTTGTGGCCACAATTCACTTGGCACTCAAATCGTTCCTATTTCCAGAACATTTACAATCTTGATACTTTGGCGATCATAGCAGCACATAGATGATTGCATCAGCGTCTTGCCAGGATAAAAACGTAAGCGAAAAGAGAGTGTCACAGTATTAATGCAGAGGAAGAAGGGAGGTTTCAATTCGAGTTAAAAGTTTTGGTTTACAGTTATTTTGATTGGGCAAGAGATATCTGCATTAAGCGGTACGTAAGATCGTATGATTACTTTGAATGACGCAATTTAGACTTCTAGCGTTATTTTTAAGATAGAGGAAGAAAGTCCCCAAATTAAATAAAAGATAAAAGAGGTTAGAGACAATTGAAATTTAGAAGTTTGCTTCCATATTGTTTATCTTACATGTGTATATATACAGGGTGAATCTGAACAAGAGGGCAGATTTTTAGGGGGATAGAAGGCAGCTATAAGAGCAATATTCGTCATAGAATGTACCGTCGGAACGCAAAAGGCGAGCCGCTGCGTGGCATTGTAAATAAGTGGTATAAAAAGTGTCGGTTCTCGCACCCAACGGCATTTTCTACAGTGGATTGCCAAGAAGATTCCTGGTTATACGAACCACGAAATTTCCAGGGCGATGGACTGGTCGTGGTGGTTCCATAGCTTGGCCACCAAGCTCACTGGCTCTCTCGTGTTTGGTTTTTTCCTGTGGGGTCATATGAAAAGCATAATCTTTGAGTTCCCCATTGAAACCAATATGGATCTAGTCGCCAGAATCGCCGTTGTTGCCAGCGATATTCGGGAAATGTCTGCTGTCGTTGCAAATGTGCGTCAATCCCCTGTCCCGCAGGTGTGAAGCCTACAGGACAGCTGGTGACAGTCTTTCACAGTCAAACAGATAGTGATCTGGGTCACCAGTACTGCCACAAATACGTTAGTCACTGTCTCTTAGGCGAAATCTGTGAAGATAGGACATATATGAGCCATGCCCTGTCAGATACTGTGTGAGGTGCGAAGAACTGCTATTTAAATTGTGGTTAACTTTTGGTTGGAAATCATACAGTCTTCTGCCTGTGGTGCTTGTCTGTTTGACTGCTCGCACACAGGGAATTCACATTTAAAAAGACCAACTACAATCAATATGCCAGCATGGTTCAAGAACACAATTAAGAATAAATATGCGCTCAGCCGCATTAGAGACTGCACGACCATTGCTAAAAGCATTGCTGACAACCTGGAGTGACTTCTTTTCTTCTTTTGCCGTCAGCAGCCTGCTCCGTACATATACTAATTTACTTAATGTCTTGTTTTTTCTTTCCTGTTTTTAATTATACAGTCAAAAGTCGTTAATTCGGACACCCATAATCCAGAATGATCTATAATCCGGACCTCAAAGTTAAAAACTTTCTGCGCATGCGCCGCGTCGGCACATGCGCACAGGCGTTTTACGCGTGCGCGTAAGACCTTGACTACTGCGCATATGCGTGTGCACAAGTGCAGAATACGTTTTCGCCTGCGTGTTTAATGTATAACGGATGGTGTAAGCTAAAATTATCTAATTATCTATTTCAGTTAATGTTAATGATTGCGTTGTTCCTTAATCTTCGAATTGGATCCCGCTTATTTTTTTGCAGACTGTAAGAGCAATTTTATAAAAGTAAACTTGAACTTTCGATTATGTCAAATAAAATTTCCGATGCTGGAACTTCCAAAGGATCTACAAAACGAAAGTATGTTTCGATTGTCCAACAAACAAAAAGTGGAATTGCTGCAAAAAATGGATAAAGACATGAAGAATGTGACAGAGAGGTTAGTGAAAACGAAAAAAAATTCGATTGACAGTTAGTCGGTATTCTCGGCATAGCAATTAACGGGACTTGAACAGCGGAACTTTGTAACTGAACAAGAAATTATGTCTGTTTATAGAATTAAAGAGAAATATTATCACATAAAACGAAGCAACTTAAACAACTTACATTGAAAGAAATTTTAAAAAAAAAATAAGCTTTTTTTTTTTTTTTTTTTTTTTTTTTTTTTTTTTTTTTTTTTGTGTAAATTTCGATAGCCTTTAGATCATAATTGTTCGTTATTCATAAATTACGGTTTCATATTTTTAATTTTAGAATTCTGCATGCATCTTACGATTTAACTATGATCTATAAAAATCGATAATCCGGAATCGCCGAAGTCCCGACGAGTCCGGATTAACGACTTTTGACTGTATTTAGTATTATGATTAATCCAGAACACTCATTTAAATGTATTCCACAATTTGTAATGTATTTACCTGATTTTTATACCACATCCTTAATATAACTGTATGCCTAACATGTACGATAATAGTGAAAAGTGTTTCGCTTAGTCTCAGCAGTCCCCACCATGCACCTTCTTTCCATGTTCTGGTCTTTACTTCAATGTACCTCGTTTCGTGGCCAAATCCCGGAGGACACAGTTCTAAGCTCTTTATTTATGTTTATTCGTGTATTTATTTTTAATTCCATCGACGGGATCCAACAGGCTGAAAAGCACCTAACCCAGTGGGCCAGCTGTTCCGTCGATGGTGAAAAGAAAAGTCTTTGACAGTCTTTTGAGCAATTTCCATGAACGTGTTCTGTTAATAAAATGTTTTATGAAGTATCTTCTCCCGTTCTTGTGTTAATTCTTTAAATGTGACAGTGGAAAACTACCCTTTGTCTTCTCCCCGCTTGCGTTCCAACCATATATGCTGTGACGAATATTGCTCGTATACCTTCTATCACCCCCTAAAGTTTTACCCTCTTGTTCAGATTCACCCTATATATATATCCATTTTGGAGTGAAACTCGTTTAATACTAATGATCATTATCATTTTGCTGTGCTTTTAATTAAGCTACCAGATTTTCCAAAGAGCTGTTTTGTGTATGTTTCGTGTAATTTATTAGAAAAGTAAATGGGATATAAATTTTGTTGCAGCCTTTAACTTTTGACATTGCAACATGCTTGCATTTGCAAATTTATGCTAGTTGTTAATTTGTAAAAGTTGAAGACTGAATAATGAACACGTACAAAAATATTTTACCTTCAAGGATTAATACACAGAGCCAAATAATTAAAGGCAATATTTCAGTAAATTTAAGCATTCCTTTAGCACAGATACTTCTGTTTAGACAGTAAGGCAAGGCTCCTATGAGAAGCTAGAATGTCTGTGGAGTTATTCTAATCCATCACGGTAGTTCTAGAATGATTGATCCGATGAAACTCTACGCAATAAGGGTGAGAAATTAAATTTTATAAATCAGCTTTGCTAAATTTGTCGTGTCCACAAAAATTTTGAAATTAGTTATTTTACAGTGCTTCTACAGATAGGCGATTGGATTTGTTCTTGAAAACGGAAATGCCAGTTTAAGTTTAGAGAATGATCATCCAACTTTCTATAACTTGTAAATTTGTGTGGGGCTGCGATAATCAGTTGGAAGAAGCCATCATATTTTCGGTAATGCTGTTGGTTTTAATGGGAAACATATTGTTATCGGAAGAAGTAATGCATCAAGTACTTGAAGCGTGTATAAACCGCACTTTTTTACACAAGAAAGCAGATGCAAATCAATCATGCAGTTTATATACTCGATGATTAAAAACAGGTACTTATAAACACATAGCAACGCAACAGTATGTACTTAACGATTGGTTGGATGAATTTGTTGACCACGAATTTGAACCAATTTGTTGGCTGAACGTTGTATAAAATATACAAGGTTAGTTGTGGTTAGAGATCATTTGAAGGAAAATGTCGAGTAAACGATTTACCAGTCATGCACATTTTAAACTGCAAGTTATCCGATTCTCTGAAGACAATAGGAAATGAGGAACAGCACGTCCTTTCAGCCTGGAGGAATCCAACGTACGAAGGCAGAAAAGAAGAAAAGTGAACTTTTAAGAAACAAGCAGCAAGAAGAGGGCGTTTGGTGGGAAAGCAAGTTAAGTATCTGCAGTTGGAAGATGCTCGTAGAGAACTCTGCGAAGCTACTGGCTAGGATCTGTACCTAGGCAGTCTCGGCCACGGGGGATAAAATTTATGAACTTGGTGGTTTAAAAGGCCCTGGGAAAGGTCATTTATTGGCCGGCCTCGGGGTCTGGCACGTCCTAGCGCGGCGTGGTTCTAGTAGCCCGGGCGGTAGCGTTCCCAGATTCGCTGGGTAATGTCCCGCTGCGACAGGCAGTCCGAGCGACTGGTAGGTAAAGGTAAAAGTATGGGGGACACCAGCGATGTACCATAGGTCAACTGGTAATGCCTTCCATACTAACTCTTTGAAAAAAAGGGGGTGTGAATTGCAAATTTTATAAGAATTTGCATACACTGAAGCTTTCCAAAAGGTCTAGAGTTTGCCTATTATGGTACATCGTGCAATCTCACAGTACGCCCCGCATCCTACGCGACTGGTAGGTAGCAAATCAAATGACCAGTGCTGCCTGGGAAATCCCAGGTGGTGCGCCTCTCTCTCTGAGGGGCCAGAGGGGAGGTTGAACCTCCGCGCCTGGTTCTGAGGAGTGGGGGGGGGAGGACTTGTAGTGCGATTTCGTTCACGAGGCAAGGAAGCCTATAAATAGTTAGTTAGTTGGAAGATGCTATTTTATCGTATGGTGAAGGAGAAAAGAACTTCTGATTTTGTTGTAACTGTTGATATGATACACTTCCAAACTCGTGAAGAAGCTAATCGGATGAAAACAAGCCGCTGCGAAGTGGTGTGCACAATTTAT